AACTTGAATGCAATTTTTTGCATGGAAAAAAATTGCACTCAAGATTTCTTGCACGTCGTTTTACACCTTGAAATTTGACTTGTTTCCTGCTCTAACCTTAATGTCCTTAACCATACTTTTTTGTTTTTTATGTTATCTTGTTGATGTTTGCATTTTCCAAAAATGAAAAAAATGCTTATAAGTCGATATAAAAAGAAGGAAGCAATAGCAGCCACTTTGGGCATAATAATTGCTGAAAATTCCCCAGCTTGCGTGAAAACCTTCAAGAAAAATGGCATGAAACCGATTGCATGCAATGCCATTCAAGTTCCAAGAATCTTGCAGAAAACAATCAGCTGACTCACTTCTGCGCATGCCCTCGTTCAAGTTTCTTGCATATTGCAGATAGAATTGCATCAAGCTGTAAAACGGCCTTAAGAAAAATGAAACCGCTTTGGTTACACAAAAGGAAAAATGTAATTTTGTAACCAATAGCGATGAGCACTGGATCCTAGATAGTGGTTCTTCGATACAGATGACTAGTAGATACCTAGAATACCTACTTTACTAAACTTAAAACTATGAAAAGTTCTTTAAAATGTAACCCTGGGAAACAGTGAAAGTTTGGAAGTACAAGGAAAAGGTACTGTGAACGTTAAAGACAAATGGTATAGTTCAACAATAAATGATGTGCTTTATGTTCCAAGTTTTACCAAAAACTTATAAGGAGTTTCAACTCATAAGGGTATGAAAATCATCAGAGTTCAGTAAGGCAAAAATATATTTCAAAAATCAGCTGGTTGCGATTCAAATAATCTAAATATAGGTATAGAATGTTTTTTCGAACCAAGTATCAAGAAACGAGTGAGCTCGTTGTTTCAGAAAAGCAAAATTGCAGCCTACAAACATGGCATAATGGTAAGAACACATAAATGTTCAATATTTAAAGTAAAATTTGGGAAGTGGTGTTAAAATGAGTGACTGAAAATTTTGATTGAGAAGACTGTATTTTTTTGAAAGACATTTAAAAATTCAATGAGACCGTAGTATAAAAGTGATCTGGGTGAATTGGTTTATAGTGACCCATGTGGACTATTTCAAACTCTATCAGCTTCAGGTACGCTCGATCGATATATGCTACTCTTTAAGGACAGCTTTACAGGTTTACAATAATACACTCGATTGCTTCACCGAATATAAAAACAAAGTAAAAACAAGATTTGGACACTCAGTTATGGCTTTACATATGTAGTTGATGGACGTGAGAACATAAATCATGAAAATAGGGAATATTTAAAAAAAGAAGGTATAGAATTGGAAACTACCTACAGCACCGTACACACCAGCCAGAACAAAATAGATGAAGTGAAAACGAGAATCGCACTATTATAGAAAAAGTCAGGACCTTGTTGATAAGTGCAAGTACACCCCATTACCTCTGGGCAAAAGCTGCAAACACTGTGGTTTACCTCCTAAACCGAGTACAAGTGAAACAAAGTCAGAACACTCCTTTCGAAGGTTGGACAGGTGAGAAGCCCTATCTTGGACACGCCAAAACATTTGATTGTGTGGCCTATGCACATCAATCAGCCCGAACAAAGAAGAAAGAAACTCGAACAATAGAGTAAGAAACTAATTTTCGATGATTATGATAGAAATCAAAATAGTTAGGGAGACGACCGCATTTTTCCTACCCCGATCGAGTTATGTGTCGACACTATTGTCAATATATAGTATTATGTGCATCTATTAACCTGTATTCCTGCCTGAGAGCAAATCCTGCCGGAAATATCTTTTAACAAATTATTAAAAAATTGAAAAAAACGTAACACCACCCCCATCGAGTTATGCCCTAAGTAGGGTATCAGATTGAAGGTCTCGATGTCCCCTATCTAAAAAGCCCAATAAGCTGCACTGCTTATTGGGGCAAGGGCCCGCGTTCTCAGCTTTGACACCTATCAATTTTTGCGCTGAATGATGTGTCACATTGAAGGTGTCGATAAGTTGATTTAAGGTCTCTTCGCACAGAAATCCCAAACCAGAAGGAGTGAATTTTATTGTTTGAAACTTGTTTCCTGACTGTTTCCAACTAATGAAATTCGCTCCGACTGGTTTGTGATTTCTGTGCGAACAGACCTTAAATCAACTTATTGACACCTTTAATTTGACACATCATTTAGTGCATAGCTTGATAGGTGTCAAAGCGGAGACCGCGGGCCCTTGCACCAATAAGCTGTCCTGCCACCCTTTTCCGGCAAGTTCTCACGAGGCAGGATCGACTTTTTAGATAGGGGACATCGATACCTTCAATCTGATACCCTACTTAGGGCATAACTCGATGGGGGTAGTGTTACTTTTTTTTTCAATTTGTTAATAATTTGTTTAAAGATATTTCCGGCAGCATTTGCTCTCAGGCAGGAATACAGGTTAATAGATGCACATAATACTACATATTGATAATTGTGTCGACACATAACTCGATCGGGGTAGAAAAAATGCGGTCGTCTCCCAGACTAAAAGGAGAAAATTGATAATAATCAGCTAATAGAAAGTGACAGCAAAAGTGAAAATATTGGAAATGAAAACAATAATATTGATCCAGAACTAACTATAAATACACCTTCTCCCATCAATTTGCGACCTTCAAAGATCAATTAAACTTCCAGAAAGATTTGAGGATTATGAATTAAATTTGGTAGAAGTCAATATTCCTAATTCATATTTGAAGAAGCTGTCACTGGAAAGAATGCTGAGAAATGGAAAAAGACTATTGAAGAAGAAATTCAAGCCCTGAATAAAAATAAAACATGGATATTGCAAGATTTACCCGATGGTAAGAAGGTTATTGGAACAAAATGGGTGTTTCATATGAAAGATGATAACCATAACAAACCTGCTCGTTATAGAGCAAGGTTGTGTGCAAAATGTTTCGCATAACAAAAAGGTATAGATTATACTGAGATTTTCTTACCCAACCACTCGTTATGACACTATCCAAGTTCTAATATCAGTTGCTGCAAACAAGAGCTATCTAATTAAGCAATTTGATATAAATTCGCCTTTCTCTATGGAAATTTAAATGAAAAAATAATGGAGTGCCTGACGGTTTTTTAACGACCAATAACAAAGTGTGTAGACTTTTGAAATCACTGTACGGACTGAAACAATCTCCTCGATTTTGGAATCAAAAATTTAACTGTGTTCTTACACAATTTGGTTTCAAACAATTTGATTCAGATTGTTGTGCATACAGAAGTAATGCAAATGGTGATTTAGTATTGCTCGTTATTTATGTGGAGTCAGAGTGATAGTGCATTGAAAATTGTTTTAGTTTTAGCCGAATAACAAACAAATTTTAAAGTGAAAATAGACAAAGTTAACAATTTTGTTGGACTCGAAATAGTACAGGAAGAAGACTATATTTTCATTCACCAAGAAGGTTATATAAATAAACCCATTAAGAAATTTGGTATGAAAACAAACCCTGTTGATATACCGGCTGACCCTAATCAGGATTTAACTGGAGATCCAACTGATCATTCATTTGTATGTCTATATAGAGAAGTAGATATAGGTATCTAATATTTGCTGGCAGTGTAGGTATCAAATGCTTTTGCAGTGGGAGTTGTGGGCAGATTCTTGAAATATCCAACAAATGCACAATGGAGTGCTGTGAAAAGACTATTGAAATATTTGAAACAAACACCAAGCTTATGGTATTCAATATAAGGTAATACATTACCCAGAATTTCATAGGTGAAGCAAACACACATTGAGTAGGTACCATTTTATACGAGAGAAGTACCAAAGTTGTGAAATTGAGTCGAAATATGTTAATACGAAGAATCAGGAAGCTGAAATTCTTACTAAAGCCCTACCTTGTGAACATTTTCAAAACTTGGATGGGACTGCAAATTTGTATTGAAAAAAACTATATATAAAATAATTAGGTTCATTTAAAATAATCAAAAAGTGGGAGTATTGGAAATATTTAAAATTGGATTATTTGTCTTTTTCTTATTTAAGGGTCAAGTTTTGCATCATGTCATCATGTATATTTTTAGTTATATCTGCAATAATTGTACCTGTGATACCTTATCTGAAAGCTCTTAAACAATACTTTTCAATGGTACGTACCCTACAGATATAATTATTGTGAGTTTTTTAAAGTTTCACTCTGTATACTAAGAAAATTCTTTGCTGATTCAATTTTACTATAGAGCAGTCATCAATTGAGATGTCTGATATTCCAAACATAAGGCAAGAAAGTCCGAAACAAATTTTCCCCACAGAGAGTCAGTAGGTAGGTACCTACTTTAATCTATTTAATGGTTGGAACTAGACCAGAACTTACCTTTGTTGTGGGATATCTCTCAAGAACCTTAGAAAATCCTCCACCAGAAGATGTTGAAAGACTAAAAACAATTTATTGGGGATAACCTACATGCCGGGACACACGTCTATATTCAATGAAGACAAAATTGCAAAATTACCACACGCGTTAAAGTTGATAATGATGTAGATTGAAAAAACGAACGATAAACCATACTAAACTGCTAATTCAAATCAAACTTGAAAACGCTACGTGCATTGAATTTCAAGAGGTCAGTCAAATGGTTGGATTGAAAAAGTCTGGCATGTTTCACTAAAAATGTAATCCTTACTCACCCAAAATTGACAAACTCAACAAAATCCTCCAGAAACTACAATACTTCCTCTATTCGCACAAATTTCCCCGATTACTATTAGCTTTAAACATACTATAATTACACCATACATTGTTTTTTCGAAATTGTAAACACATATTAGATGGAACGTCACACACGCTGTACCTAAACTAATAATTTTAAAAATAACCTGATATTTTAAAATAGTTAACCGTCAGGTTTAATTCGCGAAAAACTCTACGATATTACCAGGCCAGAATTTATAATAAAAATACAAAAAGTAAATATACCATATGACAATAATAATAATTAAATTTAATTGTGTTTTTGTTACAATAATTCAATGAAAAATCCTTGATGTGCGTATCTAATCTATATTTTTTAAGTATTTTATCTACACAGCCCATATTTCATTCCTATCATTATCACTTGTTCTTCAAGAACAATTTTCAAAATAACTTCGTTTTTATTCGCCCTCTTTTCAAGATCCTTGCTGGCCTTTTTCAATCTTTCCAGCAAATTTTGTTTTTCGATTTCATCGAAAGCCGTGCTTGCAGTTACTTCGTCAACTTTAACGTAATACTTTGACAATAATTTATCGAGCCAATAATAGTCGTCGTCCCTTTTGAGCCCTTTGAAAGTTCTTATAGCGAACTCTAGCTTAGCAATCATTGGTTCTAAAACTATAAACCTGTTGCTGTCGTTTGAAAGTTTACGGATTTTGCGTTTGCTTTCTTCAATGGCTGATTCTATATCTTCTTTGGTATTGACAATTGCATACAAAGGGGTTTCAAATGCATTATTTTCGTTTAGGTTGGATTTGAAGGTGGTAAATGGATATTTTTCTGAGGCTGGTAAACTGCTACTGTCTCGTTTTACTGTAATGGTAACATTTTCCAAGGGTTTTTGTGGTCTAATGATTGCATCACAATCTAGAGACTTTCTCCATGATAAGTTTTTTTCAGATGACGATGCTATTTGACCTAAAATAATATGTTATTAATAAGTCATATGATAATTTGATTATTTACTTTGAGATGCACTTTTTTCAATAGGGATTTTATGAATGTTTGAGTCCTTTTGGCCAATTATAGAAGTTGCTGTAGATTTTTCTAATGGTACTCTTGGTGGCAAAACTGGTATGGGCTCTTGGGCTTTGGGAAGTTCCTGAAAAATAAGAATATAGGTAATACAGAATCAAGACCTTCTCTTTTCTAATTGTTGGAACATTATTATCACTGTTTCAAATAATGTATTATTGAGGATGAATTTTACTCTATCACCTCTGAAGTTAAAGCATTTTTGGATGCCCATGAGACAGTTGATTGTCAGGATAATGCATCAGGCAGTATTGGCAGTTCAGGAACAGTAAAAACTTCTAATGTCCAATTACCTCCACTCAATTTACCAACATTTGATGGATCTTTTGATCAATAGCTTTTCTTTCATGACAGTTTTAATTCAAGTATCCATCCAGTATTTCCAAAGTGCAGAAGTTTCATGGCGCTTTTCATTACAAAGGAACTGCTGCTGATACTATTAAATCATAACAGATTTGTGACACTAATTATGACATGGCCTGGCAACTCCTTATTGAACGATATGAAAACAAATCACTGTTGGTTCATATTCCCTCCCTTCCTAAAGAGACCTATCATGGTCTCAGAAACATTTTAGACGAAACACTACAACATTTGCGCTCTTTAAAGGTTCTTGGGTGTCCAACTGAACATTGGCATGATCTCGTTATATATCTCAATACAATTAAATTTGATAATGCCGCACTCCTGTGTCTGGGAATCAAGAGGCAGGACCAATCAGTTATCAAATATGGACAATTTGCTAGACAATGATATAATGGGAAGAGATTTCAGACATGCTTTCATCTGGAATATGGCGTCAGTACTCAAGTACCTACCTACATGATAGTACATGCCACAATAAACCGCGCGAAATAACGTGTGTGTATACCGACCTTTTTGAGATGCTTGTAGAAGATAGATGTGACATGTTGAATATACGAATACTGGATGAACAGATGACAAATATTAGTGAATTAAGTCAGCTTTTATTTGATTTAAATGGTATCTTCTGATCAAAGTACTGAACTGAGTTGTTTATTGCTGAGACACAACTGGTTAATGAAATGTCTTGCAAATATCATAAATTGAAGATCCAAGTCGAACATCTGAGTAGTAGTGAAGCTCGTTCTATTTCTTCTACTAGTCTTCGTCCGAGGGGTAAACCACTAGTAGAAATCATTGTACATTTTGTTTGGAAATCACACAGGAATCAATCAGGAATACATGGAAATCCCTTGAGAGTCCCTGGGAATAACCTAGTAATCGTTAGTAATCGCGCTAGGAATCTCCTAAGACTCCATGGGAATAACATAGGTATGGCCTTTCATGAGTGATTGTTCTTTTTTATGGGGTTAAATAAAATCATTCATACGATTTGGCAGAATATAAAGACAAAAAATGTTGCCAATTAGTATTCGGTATAATCAAAAAAAGGTACTACAGAATGATGGAACAAGAATGGTCACAGAACATGCTATATGGTAGGAATGTGCTAAAAGAAAATGATGGCATTGAGTTCCCAGCCTACCAATCACCACATAATATGTATACTGGTGCAGACTAAGTATACTGATGGGTACTTGGTACTTCGGAAAAACAGCTGCATGAGTTGGGATCAAATCCATGAGCAAGGAAAATATGCGAAAAGGTTTGCAACTCTGAGGAAAATTCGTACCACTTTGCCTGTGCGTGTCCTACAAGCTCAACAACAACAAGGCACTTTGTGGTTCACTGGACCCTTAAGACACTGCTCAAGTCCCTGGGGTGCTCCAGAAAAAGTTCAAAGAAATTTTCATTTCAAAGACTTTAGGGCGTGTTCCGGATTGATGCTCAATGGAGCGAGCGGAGCGTTTCCAGAGCATCGTGACGTAAGGCAGTGCACTTTGGCCAAACCAAATGTGCCTGTGCAGTGTGAATCATAATAATTAAAGCGTATTGAAATATATGCTAGTCCTGCTACTAAACAAGTCGATATTTTCATTATAGTGGGCTTTTATATTTTATATTATAAATTAAAGGCCAGCAATTGGCCTTCCATCCTCTAGTGGCCCGTAGGACATGACCTAATTGTCCTAACGGATAAAGTGTTCCTGAACATAAGAATCCATTGGCAATCGCCGAGAATCATGTGGTAATCATTGGAAATCTCATTCTAACCCAGAAATTGCATATCATACATTTTAAACGATACAGCGTACCGGTCAGTTGTGTATTTGCCTTTAAACTAAGTTTTAGGCAACATTAGGTCTGTTCCAATCGACATAAGAAACGTTCTAGAACGGTGATTTTCAGTCGATCAATCCATTCGTCAAGTAGGATAAACCTTCAACTTATTGAAAAATAGGTAGGCAACTGGAAGTTACTGGTTCTGGAAAGGTTCTCATGTCGGTTGGAGCTAGTGCTAGACAATTTGGAATGAATTTGATACCCCAACGAGTTTCCCAATAACTGAACCCGAGACTACGACGAGTTTAAAACTTGAAGAAGAAGAAGAACGAGATGAAGATTAGGTCGGTTCTCACAGAAATCACAAACCAATCGGAGCGTTTTTGATTGGTAAAAATCGCCAACAACCAGTTTTCTGACTGTTTTCAACCAATGAAATTCGCTCTGACTGGTTTGTGATTTCTGTGATACCAAACCTAAAATATGACAATGTTGTAGATCATTAAAATGAAAACATGAGTCTCTGATCCAAATGAACATCCTAGTGAAATCAAAGAAATATCCATTATTTTAGATCCATATATTATGCACTATAAACATGCAATGGTATCTAGAGCTCAACAACTATTTATACCTACAACAAAATCGGTGTGGGTTAGTGAATGAAAATAAAAGTTGCTAACTTTTGAAAAAGTTGATAATACAGAAGTTGCCAATTTTTCAGTGGAAATCAAATAATTGTAGGAAATCATTGAGGAGATCAGGTAATCAATTGGAAATGGTATAGGAATCCCCAGAAAAAATGGAAATCACCTGGTAATCATACAAAAATGTCTGAAAATCATTGACAATTAGTCGCAATTCTTGGGATGGGAATACATGAGATTCATTGATTGCCAAATATGAAAATAATTGTAAGCATCGTGGTTGACCCCTCGTCTTCGTTTTATAAAAATTAGTTAAAGCTACCTTGGATTGAACCCAAAAAGTTTGGAGGTGATCTGAAGGAAGAAGGCAAATTCCAGTATTTGGTACAATCTATGATTCCAGCAGTTAGTCAACAGTTACCCTGCCACCAGTGAAACTATCCCAAGGTCATAGCTAGTATGAAAACATGTTTTCATCGACAATGATCAGCATGTTAGAGTAGTATTTGAGGTAATGTGCAGTCCATTATTGTTGGGAACAGTGATAGACTATCATTTGCAAAATGCGTTTGAAAAATCTAGAGATGGAGAATCACCCTACTTCACAGCATTCATTTCAAAACTACTCGAAGCCTTCTATGTAGACAGTGTTATTGCAAGTGTAGCTACACAGAAGAAGATTCAAATCAATTTATTCATGAAAGTATTGAACTTTTGAAGGAAGGCAGAATGGATCTTAAAGGGTGGGAGAATACTCTTCAGAAGAAAGAAGCAGTCATGGAAACTGAACCTATGGAACCAGTTTTAGATTTTTTGTGCAAGAAATGTCAAAATACTCTACAAATTTTTTAAAAATGGCCTAAACATCTCAAAGTAATGAAACAAGGGATTTTATCTTCAAGTCATAAGCTCTTTGATCCTATTGGTTTTAGTACTCCAACTACATTCTTAGCTTTGATATACGGAGGGGGAATGGCCTGTTAACAATTTGGCGAAGAAATACTCTCAGACTATTTGCTTCATGGCCCATAAAGTTCCATTATTCAAGTATGTCACACTCCCGTCTGCATGTCCTATAGTGCTGCTCATAACTCTTTTCCTCGCCCTGCAATGCTGAGATTCGGTATAGACAGCGTTATGATCCGAGATCGCCGTATCCACAGATCGGCTCTCCACCTGCAAACCCAAATTGGAGCAGACGTATAATCAATTATGGGGGCGGAGTGATCAGTGATACGGGTGTAGGAGTGAACGTGCATTACTAAATTAAATGATGTAAGAAGATTAGAGCTGTTATAACGTGAGATGTTTTATCGTTGTAATCAATATGTTACCACCTCCACCTGGTTGCGTACGGTTGGGTAAGGGAGACGTTTTAGCACTGGCAAAGGCCTTTTTGTACTGTGGTAGCGTGCCACCAGGGACTTTGTTTAAAGTCCCACTGAAAATCTAGGTAACTTTGAACAGATACTTTTTAGTAATCTGATTAGATTGCCTCTTCCAGTGCGGGTTCTTGCTACCTGAGCTGTAGAGCTGTACGCAGTTAGTTGGAATGCTAGTTCGGGGTTTTCCAAAGTAAATAAAAGAATCAGTTTTTCTTACTAAACTCTAACAATGGTTTATTGAACAAATGGTAATTCTTGGTAAGGAAATGAAAGAAAAGCAAATACATACGGAGATTTGGAATGATAGGGAGTGAAATCAATGAGCGTCCAGTATAGGGCGTTCCTGGATGGTACAAGTTACATGAGAAATTAAAGATTATAAGATACAGAAAATAAAGACTAGGTTATAATTCTTTGTGGGTAAAAGTCACGAGCGTCCTCGACAAGGGAATGACAAAACGGCCTTGTTATTCAGGGTAAGATACATGGAAAAGAGATTTGAGTTATGAAGCTAACCCAATGGTTTTGTTCTTTACCTAGGGGAGAAAATAAATAATAGATAGAAAACAACAATCATGGTGAATAAATTAAAATACTTGAAATTGAAACATTATCTTAGGTCTAGGAAAGAGAGACAACACAAAGACGTCAACACTAAACACCAGAACTTCGTTACAGAACTGAATTAATCTAGGAGATTCACAGGCTTATTTATATTGGCAGCTTGATGACGCTTTTGGGATTCTTATCGGTCGCAAAACATGCGGTTTGTTCACGGAACCAGGAGTCGAGACTCGTATTTTAAGGCACAATCAGGACACTGTTTTGGGATCCGACTGATAACCCTTGGCTCTTGACATGGTTTCGTCAGAAATTTAGCGACTTAATCTCGCTGGGAAAAAGAAACCAAATAATTGTATTACGAAGCAAAATAAAAGGATTTTTAGGCCATTTTGTTACAAATATTCAGGTCACCCGTCAGCACAATTTGGCTTTTTATGGGAATATTTGAAAGCAATAGCTCAAGTCTATCGAGGAAATCATGGAAACTAGTTTTAGGAGATTTTTACAAGCAGATCACAGACATGTTGAACTTATCCGAATGAACCGTTGAAAACTCTTTCCTGAACTAGGCAGTCAAATCTTGTACACGCTTCAAAGTGCATGTCCATATACAAAGATCTATTTATTAGTGTTACAGTACCACTATTTTTATACGTAGCCCCAGGGCCGTAGCTACGGTCAAATTTGTTGATCACAATTTGTGATAGGGCGTGACAAATTTGACATAGGGCATACGTTTTAACTGTTTTCGTCAAAATTGCCTAACCTTAAAAATGATGATGGTCCGTGTCCTCATCATTGACTTCCAACAAGCTACTTTGAAGGTCGTCGTCCAAGTTTATTGCGATATGTTTTGCAGTATTTTTAGGGTCATTGTGACAAAAGTCTTCGGTCATGATTTCTTGCGTTTGGCAAGGAAAGTAAAGGAATTCTATCTTCGACAGCATTGCTAGCAGTAACGTAATCGACAAGATGAAGACACAGGTCACCATTACTTAACCTTAATCTACCTTTTATAATGTCATTGCAAAATGTTCTTAGCGAGGCAGTATTATTCTTTAGGAAGGAACATACCTGAAGTGAGAACATATTAAAGGTTTTATGTGATGACACATTACGGACATATGTTATGCTAAATATTACATTACAATGTTTCCCCGGAGAGTATAGTTTACTAATATCACGGCAGAGTCAGACTTAAAACTTAGGCAGATTATGAGTGAATCCTCCTTCCCTAGGTGACTCGAATAAGTGAAGACTTCGTCCGATTGCTTAACAATGTTATTCCTGGTTTCGCTACACTATGTGTGTTGTATTGGTCATCAGACTGGCAACAGGAATCTCTAGTTTTTATCAAAACAACTGGACCCGTCTGAGTATGAAAGGAAGTAAACCCTTTAGGTATTTCTTGAGCTTTGTGATCATGAGATCTAGTGGAAAGCTCTATTATTCTCCTTCTCAACTGCGCATTTTCGTCCAGTAACTGCCTCTCCAAGGATTCCGCTTTCCCCAAAAACATCTCCCTCTCACGTCCAATCCTTTCAATGTGCTTCGACTTATTATTCAATTCAGTATTAAGCTCTTTGATGGTCTGAGTTAACGAATCAATAATCTCATGATCCGAATTGAATTATCATTGGCCAACTCTGAACAAGAAGAACAATATCTCCATTTGGATTCCGGGCATACTATGCTCTACAGGGGGAAGGATGATGATAACAATGGAGGAGTTGGAATATTAATAAATAAAAAACTATCGACAAACTTGAAAATCCTGATAATATATCTATCTGACAGAGTAATATATTATGTCGCAATCAATATAAATAAAAATATAACGCTAAAATATATACAAGCCTATGTTCCAACTTCCTCACATGAAGATGACGAGGTGGAAACGGTATACGAAGACATAGCGAGAGCAATAAGAGAGAACCCAATGACGCACACTATTCTAGGAGGAGACTTTAATGCAGAAATAGGCAGAGGAGCAGAACCAATGGAAACGCACATAGGACAGTTCGGACTCGGCACCAGAAATGAAAGGGGAAGAATGTTAGCAAACTTCCTAGAAAGAGAAAGACTATCTGATGAACATTTTCTTCCAAAAGAAAGAGAAATGTAAATGGACATGCAATAGCCCAGATAGACAAACCAAAAATGAGATTGACTTTATAATCTCCCGCCATAAACACATAATCCAAGACGTAAATGTAGTCAATCAATTTAACACCGGCAGTGATCGCAGGATGGTAAGATGCAAACTGCTCATAAACACAAAAATGGAAAGAAAAAGAAAGATGAAACAAACGATAAAGAGAGGAAGTAGAGAAAGGATAGCAGAAGGAAGGGAAACATACAAACAAAGGCTGAAAAAAAACTTTTCCAACAATCCAGGAAAAACAGAAGAGTCATTAGATGATAACAATAGGAGAATAACAAAAATTATAACAGAAACAGCAGAACAGATAATAGGGCCCTTAGAGAAAACGCCGGACAAACTGTCGATAGAAACGAAACTTCTATTAGAGAAAAGGAAAAAACTGATAACCGAGGGTAAGATACATTATTGAATACACAGAAACCAACAAAACAGCAAGAAAAATGGCGAAACAGGATATACTAAAACATCAAGCGGAACAGGTGCAATCCCTATCAGAACAGAACAAACGACTAAATATATTTAAAAGACATAACACACCTAAGAAAGAGATAACAAAAATAAAAGATGCGAAAAACAATATAGAAGAAGACAGACAACAGATATTAAAAGTTGTGGAATCTTTCTATAGAGATCTGTACGAATCTAAAATAGTAAACACAAGGACTAGAGAAGACAAAATACGAATAGTAAATGCAGACTCAGAAGAAATGCCTGACATAAATATGGAAGAACTGGAGAAAGGGTTATCCCAAAAGAATAATGGTAAAGCGGCAGGAAAAGACATTATTCTGCCTGAAATGCTCAAGGAAAGCGATACTAAGACGAGACAAGAACTAGTGAAACTATTCAATAAGTGCCTAACAGAAGAACATATACCCAAAGATTGGGAGAATGCTGTAGTTGTTCTGATCTACAAGAAAGGTGACCCGACTGATCTCGAAAACTATCGGCCGATAAGCTTACTATCACAAATATATAAATTATTCACCAGAATAATCACCAACAGATTAGAGCGAAAACTCGAATTTTACCAACCAAAGGAACAGGCTGGATTCCGAAGCCATTATAGTACGACAGAAAATCTACACACAATAAGGCTACAAAATATAATTTAAACCTATGGATGGCTTTTGTCGATTTCCGAATAGCCTACGACACAGTAGAAATCTGGGCAATAATAAAATCCTGGAGAAATGCCAGAGTGGATCAATGTTATATAAACCTCATTGAAAACATCTATAGGACTTCGACAATGTCGATAAGACTTCATGATTCATCTAACAGAATAAACGCCAAAAGAGGAATTCGGCAAGGAGACGTTATATCTCCAAAACTATTCACTTTAGTGCTCGAAGATATTTTTAAAAAGCTACAATGGAAAAATAAAGGATTGAACATACGGTGAACGCCTGCACAATCTAAGATTTGCCGACGATATTGTACTATTCGCAAAAGACAAACAGGAATTGATAAATATGTTGGAAGAACTACAGGATGAGGCGGCAAAAGTAGGATTACACATGAACTACACAAAGACCCAGTTGCAGACAAAACAATACCGATCCATGACAGCACAATAATAAAGACAGAAACATACATATACCTTGGCCAAGCTATAACAGCGGGCAAACAAAATCAAGAAATGGAAATTGATAGGAGAATTAGACTGGGATGGGCGGCTTACGGCAAATTAAAGTACATCTTCAGCATGAATATTCCAATGTTCAAAGTCATTGGTCAAAAGTCTATAACGAGTGTATACTGCCTGTTGTCATGTATGGTTGCGAGACCTGGGTAATAACCAGAAAAATTAAACTGAAATTGGAAGTACATCAGAGGGCTATTGAAAGACGAATTTTAGGAATTTTCCTGAGAGACCACAAAACAAATACATGGATAAGGGAAAGAACCAAAGTCTCCGACATAATAAAAATAATTGGTTCCCTAAAATGGCAATGGGCAGGACACGTGGCCAGACATACAGAAAACTGGAACGGGTATATCACTAGTTGAGGACCTTGGGCAGAGAGGAGAAGTGTTGGAAGACCCCAACAAAGATGCTACGACGAGATAAAGAAGGTTGCAGGCTTAAATTGTTACCGAGTTGCGCAACACCAAAGACAATGGTCAAATTTGAAAGAGGCCTATATTCTAAGGATAGAAAACGGCTAAATATGGAAATGGAAATGGAAACCAATCTGAAATTCCTTTCACTCACCCTTTCACCAAAATGTTCTTTTTCCTTGAAACCAGGATACCTTCCAGTAGACTGTTCTTGCTCCACTCCATCGTTCCATTTAGTACTTTTCAATTTAACATTTTTAAGCTCCTGTTCGAAATGGCTGTTATATTCACTCGGCAAATCTTCTATGGACTTTTGATGAACGTTTGCTCCGAGCACGCAAGAGTTCAGACTGTTGAATATTTTACGAATTTGAGTCGGCGGACTCCTTGGTGGTGTCTTACTTTGTTGTTTGACTTTTGGTTTTTCCACTAAAATAAAATAAAAGTTCGTATTTGTGAGGCCTTTAAAACTTTTGTTTGAAATTAAAAAGCCCAACTTTTTGTTTTGTTTTATTATCGCTCGAGTAACGTAAAACAACAAAAGTTTATTAATCAGCATTCTTTATGTAGATACAATGCGCTGAAGCTATATAAAAAAGCGAGCTTTTTCTCATTTTGCTTGTTCCTCCACTTACTTTGATTTCTGGCATTTTCAATTTGCCTCTCCGCAAAACTTCTGGTTACGCTGCTTTTTCTAAAATTATTGTAGTCACTTGAACTTTGATGTGCGTGGTCAATATTACTACTAGTTTTAGGGCTAATAATTGTTTCTGCTAAAAAAAAAAACGTATAAGATTTACTTTACATAAAATGGATTACCTTTTATAAAACTGTTAGACCGCAATCCGCCCTGAAGCGTTATTGCCTCAATTATTTTTCCCTTTTCTTTTTCCTCGGGTTTCGCAAAAACTGTTTGTTCAGACGCCCTTACAACTTTTTCCTGGACCTTATTGGCTTTGTACGGTGCGGCGTTTGATTTAATTGCAGGTTCGTTTTCCACTTTTTCTACGAGTTCACTCAGGCTTTCGCACTTTTTCTGTGAAGTTTTTAGCGCGTTTTCCCTGCTTCTGTCTTCTGAAAGTTTGGTTTGCTGATCGACGAACGTACTCAAGCGATTTAGACGTTTTTGACGCATTTGTTTGAGTCTTTCTTCCACTTCGTTCAGGACGATTTTGTTTGGTTTTGCTACCGGTAATGGTTCGGTAAGTTCAAGAGTTTTTTCTGGAAAAAAAAAAACACATTTGTATTATACCATAATGCTTGCCAAGCAGATGATGTAAGCTTGAACTCTATAACCTTAAGTAATGAGCAGTTCCAGGAGTTAATTAATTCATTTATCAGTACAGCTCAATCCAACGCATCATTACAACAAGTTAAGTGTCCTGCTTTTGGCAAGAAATGTAATAGGTGTAAAAAAATTTTTGTAAAGATGTGTCGTAGTCAATATGGACAGTTTGTCAGAAAAGTTGTTGAAAAAGAAGACGATTTAAAAGATGAGAAAGACAAAGAGGATGAAGAGTACTCGGTGACAACGATAATGCTAAATGGAATCACGGATAGAAATAAATGGACGGAAAAGGTGATAATAGATAGCCAGAATGTTGTTTATAAGATTGACACAGGATCACAGGTAAAGATTATTCCTATGAATGTTTTACAAAAAATTAACCCATTACTAGGCCACCTAGGAGGGTTCCTTTGTCACTTAAAGATCTGTTAAAAGAATATTTGAATGATTTGGTTCATCCTGGAATAATTGCAAGGTGCGAAGGTCCCACTGAATGGCTCAAACACCTAGTCATAGTAGAAAAAAAGGATAAATCTCTTAGACTTTGTCTAGACTCGAATGATCTTAATTTTGCTTTACAAAGAGAGTTTTGTTTAATTCCAACATAAGCTGATATAAGTGCTAAATTAAAAAATAAATTATATTTTACAGTTTTGGATTTCAAAGAGGGGTTTTACCAAGTTGAGCTTGATAAGTATTCAAGTAAGCTTTGCTCTTTTGGAACTCCTTTTGGAGCCTATAGAATTTCACGTTTACCGTTTGGGCTTAATTGTGCCCCAGCGTTTTTTCAACAAATAAATAATGATAATTTTGGCGACATTCGACGACTTACTTATAGCAGCTGATAGTTTGGTACTACATGGCAAAATGTTGAGTGAAGTTCTAGAGAGAGCTAGAAATGTTGGTGTTAAATTAAAAAAAAATAAAATTCAATACAGAGTATATGAGAAGTTGTATATTAAGGTAACATATTTGACAAGTATGGTATGCGACCGGATGAGGAAGAAAATAAAGCAATTTTGTCGCTTGATGAGCCCAAAAACAAAAAAGAATTACAATGTTTGTTGGGTATGATTAATTATCTGAGAAATTACATACCAAATTTGTCAGATATCACAACTAAATTGCGCGGTTTATTTTTAAAAAAATCTATATTTCTTTGTACAAAGACTCATTCAGATTCGTTTAATTTAATTAAAAAACTTATCAGTTCTCCTCAAGTGTTAGCTAATTTTGACGAAAACGAACCTATATACATAAAAACAGATTCTAGTAAAAATAGTGTTGACTGTGTTCTCTTACAAAATCACAAACCCGTTGCATTTGCTTCCCGTGCACTTAGTAACTGTGAGACAAGGTTCAGTCAAATAGAAAAAGAATTTAATGCTATCCCTTTTTCATGCATAAAATTTCCTAACTACATTTATGGTAGACATGTTCTTGTTTATACAGATTTTGAACCTCTAACATCCATAATGAAGATAGGCGTTGCTGAGGTAAGTTCCCCTAGATAACAACGAATGGAAGTCAAGCTACTCAAATATGATATGGATGTCCAATACAAACCAGGTAAGGAAATGCTGATTGCAGATTTGCTCTCGAGGAATTTTATCAAAGATGACAAAGTTTTTAACAGAAATAATCCACTTTATAAATGTGACTGAAGAAAGGTTGGCAGACTTTCAAAATGAAACTGAAAAAGATTGTTTGAAGAGTTGAATTGAGAAGTCAATTTTATTTGTTAAAAAAGAAAAGCAAATAATGTCAAAAGTACAAACTTTCATGTAACAAACAATTGTATTAGTATCTTCAACAGAAGTTTACATTGAAAAACGAACGGTGTTAACAAACTGTGAATATACTCTAATTACTTCGAGCTGATTTTATAAGTATTGATGTTTTCAATTAAAAGATATGGACGATAGTATGAAAACATCCATTTTTAGGTATTAGGGTGTTTTGAAATTTGAAATTGGAAAAAATGTGGGGAAAGTCACTGCTTCATTTGCTATGAAGAGGGCAAAGGATTATTTTGAAAGCAAACAGCTTCCGAAAACTAAACTTGAACGTGGATCACTTTGTATACTTGATGGGCCGTGGATTCTCCTTTCTTTTGCGAGTTTCCATTCTGATTTTGTATCCAAATTTTGACAAATGTAGGATTTGATAGAAACTTATGGAAAGACACGTCCGCCGGTTAATAGGAATTATTTTCATGAAATGGCACACTAAACACAATCACCATTGTTAGGAAAAAACCGAGGAAATAGTAGTTTCCAATTTCCACGCGTATGAAAGTCTTGTCAACAAACCACTGTCAACGGCTGTCAACTATTGTTTTCATACTCTTCTGACGTCTGACTGTCTGACGTCAGAGAGAGAGGCTTCAAATTGAAAAGGCACAACGTGTGTTTTTCCAGAAATTACGGATCATTACGGATGCTGCAGCCATAGGAACCGGTTGACCCATAAATTTCTCTGTGCACTGATAAAGGAACTTTCCTGTCGTTGGAAAAGCAGAATAAGTTTAACAATTTATTAGAATAGCATTCCCAATGTTTCAATTTCAGTGGTACACCTCCACATAAAAACCCTGCCGGGAACTTTTTCAAAATAATTACCACTCTACCAACTTAGCAAAATCATACAAGACATTTTAGATGCAGAAATTAACAAGACATAATAGAGGGATTGTGAAAGCCCATGGGCCGCTCCTGTTGTCATGTTACCGAAACCCAATAGCAAAATGAGCATTTGCGTAGATCCAAGAACCAAGCAAACAAATAAGATCCATGTCAACCATAAATTAGCAATCTGGATATTGGCAAATATCAGTAGCCAAATAAGAAGATCGAGAAAAGACAGCTTCAATCACACCTTTCGGTTTGTTCAAAAGAATGCCATTCGGGCTGAAGAACGCTCCGGTCGTATTTTAAAGGCAGATATACTCTGTACAAAATCTTATATTTCTGAAGTCAAAATAAGTCGATTTAAAGCAACTTACCTCAGTCCGAAATTGCTCCGTTTCCGAGATACAGGGTGGTAAATTTGGAAAATAAAATTTGAATTTTTCAAAATTCATGAACATTTTTCAACGTATTACTTTAAAAATTGGTACCTGGGGTTTTTTTTGGGACGCGAAACCTGAATATGGACACCTTTTCACTATGGCCGCTAGAGGGCGCTTCACAATGCTCTTTGTGGCGTCATTGTTCCGCGAGTCCGTTGTGTTCAACCCTGGATGGCTCAACTATTGTGTACAACCCTGGCGGCCTGACGTGACGTGACAGAAGACAGCTGTCCCAGGTTGTTGTTTACTTCTAGTCAGCTTGTTGCCGCGCAATTATGATATCGTGTTGTTGTTAAGAAAATAAAAGTATTTCGATTTATTTGTATGTTCAGTGCCCAGAATTAAACCGAGTTATTAGTAAAACAGTGTTTTCATTCGCTGGTGATATATCAAGCAAACACATAGCAGTAGTAGCTATAACTGGTGACCCCGACGTGATATATCTCCGCGTACCACTCGGCCTCTAACCTAAAAGACGTGTCTGACTACTAAAAAAATCAAGATGCAAAGCAATTTCGACTCCTCAGTAGATCCTGATCAGCAATTGGCTGCAAAGAGCTCTTTTACCAACCAGCAACCAGACAGGAGTTCGTCAGTGAGTATTCCTATGCCTCAACCTTCTGGCCCTCACGGCAGTACAGCATTTGATCCCGCGGTGCATTTTAATCCAACAAATCACCCGGTGAGCTATCAGCAAGCATATGCCCAACCAGTAGTAAATTCGTTGCCAGCCCCCATGATGCTCAACCAGCAGCAGAGTTATGCCATTGACGCAGTTTACAACTGCAATCTGCCACCCTTTTGGCGTTCTCATCCAGACCTATGGTTCCTGCAGATTGAATCAGTCTTTCAAGCCCACCGTATACAGTCCGATAGCACCAAGTACTATCAATTGGTAAAATCACTGGACCCGGACACAATCACGGAAGTTGCAGACATCTTGAAGGCTCCACCACCTCAAGATAAGTACCAAAATCTCAAGTCTAACCTAATAAGTGCCGGTACTTTTGCTCTCATTTGACAGCCGTTAAAAATAATCAGGGGTTAGACTGTGCTCTAACCACATCATACTTATAGACCTTGGCCCATGCAAAACTTTGACAACGTATCAAATCCGTTAATCGAGAGCAAAAGTTTCGGCCCAAAGTAGACTAACAGCCTCCGAAGACTCTCAGATGCACAAACTGCTCACTGATCTAGAACTAGGTGACCGAAAACCCTCACAGTTGCTTCGTGAAATGCGAGCCCTTGCCGGCAATCGTGCTACAGAAAACGTGCTCCGCATACGATGGCTGGCCCTTCTGCCTGTCAGCATTCAGCACTTGCTGAAAATTTTCAAGGCCAATTCACTTAACGAACTAGCTGCTACAGCTGATGAGCTCATGACAAACATCTCTGGTGGCAGTGTCATGGCCGTCAACCAGAGCTCTCGCCAGCATGGACATGGTTCTTCAGTAGCCTCCGAGCTGAACGAACTCAGACAAGCCATCACAGAACTAACCATTGCTCAGAAGGACCTCACTTCTGCCATCAGACAGAGTCTCACCTCTACCAGTCGACAACCACGTGAGCGTTCTGTCACTTCTGGAGAATGCCGATATCATCGAAAATTCGGTGCCCGGGCCCAAAAATGTGTGCAACCCTGCACATCTCAGCTGCCACTAGCATCTCCGCGCCAGGAAAACTAAATATGCTGTCGCCTGTTCAGGTGGTAAGCGACAGCAATGTCAACAGCACCTGCCTCCCATCTAAAGAAAGTCGCCTGCACGTCAGAGACAAGGTCACTGGCATGAAGTTCCTTATCGACAGTGGTTCCGTTGTATCCTTGATTCCAAGAAGCTTCTTTCAACGAAAACTTCTGCC